TATGTGTGTGTATTGATTGGTTGAATTGCTGCTGTTAGACATCCGCTTTTTGCTCCACTTCGCGTCAAGTTTTTACGACCAATGCGTCACGTTTCTTTATGTGATTGCAAATGAGAACCGTTTGTACCGGTGAAGTTTTTTCGCTGTTGGATGGACGAACCGCTGTGAAACAGTTTTTTCGCCTCGGAGTTCGTTTATGCTCAGCATAAGAGGTGAAGAGGCTGATATCGCCTGTGCTTTGCCGTAGGTCCGTCACGTGCGAACGAACGTATCGCAGTGTATGCAAGCGTGTGTAGGTGGTCCGCCACGTGATCAACAGTAACCCAGCTAAGAAGAAATCGAAACGTGAGAAATGAGAAGCCGACTGGCTTGTACGGAAATTTGTGTTCACTTGAAGTGTGTCTACAGAAGCACCTCCTTGAGTACTTAGTGTTAATGAAAATTGAGAAAAAACCGAGAAACTTCATCGCCATGATTTACACGAATGCAACAGCCTGGAAAAAGCTGCATGAATATACAAATATATTCAAAATCGAAAAAGGCACCCTCTTGGATGACGCAGTATCACTGAAGACATTGACGACAGGTATGGAAACGGTTTTTCAGATACTCCATTTGGAAAATCATGAGCGCTATTTAAGGAATTTACGCTTTGCCGGCAGTATGCCGATCCTCACAAGGCTTCCAGAAGAATTAAACAGTGAATGACGTAAGCACAAAGCAGGCTCGAAGCTAAATCTGATGAAAATTCAGCCCATGTTTAACGTAACACGTGACTCCGTGTCCTGTTCAACTCAATAGACCTTAACTTGAAGAGTTGTAAAACTTCCTCTGCCTTGAACAGCTCGTCTCTGCACCGGAAGAACTCAAAGATTCAAAGATTGCTCGGGCTTTTAGTGTGGAGTCTTCATAGTTCCCACACGCCGAGCGCAATCATGCCAGGCCGTTTTGTCCTTTGCTGTTTGTATCCAGTTCTTTCCTGCTATTTCCTCCACGTACGTCCGCCACCTCATCG